TTATGACCCCTAGGCCTAAACCCTAAATCTCTGTTTTAATCTCAGTTCAGGTAATCTCAGTTAGCTAAGAATAAATGGATTTGAATTTTTTTATTGTTATATTAACATTAGCATTAGCATTTGTGCTTGCGCATGCAAAGCAGAAGCACCAACAGCGTCATGTAATATACTTGCATTTATGTGGCACTTTCTAATGTTACTGACAAACTCAAAGTAACTTTAATTAAAGGTCACACTTTAACCATACATTCATACACCACTTTCAATTCAGTTTTATTTATGTAGCCCCAAATCATAACAACAGTTGCCTTAAGGTGCTTTATATTTTCAGGTAAAGATCCTACAATAATACAGATATATTCCCAACAATCAGATAACCCCCAATGAGCAAGTTCTTGGCAACAGTGGAAAGGAAAAATTCCCTTTTAACAGGAAGAAACCTCCAGCAGAACCAGGCTGAGGTAGGGGCAGCCATCTGTCTCCATTTAGTAGGGGTGAGGGGCAGGAGACAGAAGAAAAAACACACCATGGAAGAGAGCCAGAGTAGCACATAAACGCATAGTGAGTGAAAAGCTTTATTCTCTACACTCCAAGCACGTTATCTACCTCACATTCACAGCCAGCTTTGCATCACCAATTAGCCTGACATTCATGTCTTTAGATTGTGGGAGGAAGCTGGAGTATCTGGAGAAAACGCACATCAGGTACTGGAGCTGGTCAAATATGCAAACACCACACACAACCAGAAGCTTTTTCTGCTATGAGGTGAGAGTGCTAAACACCGGACCACTCTATTTCTGATCTTGCGTCTGTGTCGAGGAATCCTCTGACATCTGTTCTTTATGTGCCTGTATATGATCTTATCTTCTGTGCTGTCTGGCTGTTTCACTTTTGCCCGTCATTCTCTTGCCAAACAGACCAGAAAGTTATGCAACATTAGTTCAAGAATTATCAACCAAGCAACAACACATATATAAAGTAGCTCACAACATCCTAATAGAAGATATTGTGTGTTCCGCAGGGATACTGATGTCCAGTGTGATTTTATAAACTCATAACTGATATTCAAAAATATCTTTATAATTTTGAGAAAAACTTACAAATTACAATCTTTGCAACAATGACTGCCACTTTCTACTTATCCCTCCTGACTGATTTTCTCAACTTTTGTTGTTGTCCTCATGACTGCTGGTGGCATGAGACTGTAGCTTGCACAAATGTCTAGCTTCTTGATGACTGCACATCAATAATTGGTACTACAATATTTGTTGTGTTTGCCAGTAAAGTCTCGAGCATGTGGAGGATATACCCAGAGATTGGTCATTAGATGTAGAAGGCTCGACAGGGAAACGGGTGTCAACCCAGCTGCAGGACCGACATTTGCTCTTTCGTTTGAGGAGAAACAGGAGGAAAATTGCCAGAGCTCTACAATGTGACCTCCAGTGAGCTACTTATCCATGTTCCTGACCAAATTGTCAGACTCTGTGAAGTTGGCATGAAGGTCTGGCATCCTGGAACCTATTCTCACAGCATAGTACTGTGTAGGGTTTTTACACTGATGACTCTTTGGATATCGTGCAAAGAGGTTTGATTTCTTATTCACATTAATCTCAGACAACCAAATACTGTTACTGAAAGATATATACATACATACATTTTCTTCCGCTTATCTAATTCAGTGTCGCGAGGCAGCTGAGATAGGCTCCAGCCCCCCTGCGACCCTGAAATATATATCATAATAAAAAGTTAACTTATACATATACATAATAAAATAAAGTATTTTTCATTTCCCAGTTACTTAGTGAATATCACCAATCAATTAAAATCACA